CACACACACACACACACACACACACACACACACACTCAAACACATGTAACGTTAGAACGCATGTCGGATAGTGAGCATGCAACACAGTCAATGTGTTCTTAGGAACCAAAAAGAAAAAAACTTCACGCTGCATCCCTATCCTGGGACCTTGTTCCACTAGCTCCGTTGAGCTAGGTCGACGTTTGGTTTTCAACGCTGTGTAACTGTACGCGACAACGGCGATGCACGTCGTCCAAATCATCCAGCGGTCTGTTTTTAATAAAAAAGGCAATAGAGACTATCTTTGCTTTGTCTTACAACAAAAAGCAGAAGTAAATCCTTTCTCTCGAATACTACTCCCCCTACCCTCGCCACTTTCTGTTGAGCTAGCTGTCTCCTTTTTTCGAGACAGCTAGCTCAACGACCCTCTTGTTGTACGAGCCTCCTTCCGTTTGCCATTTTTGTACGGGATTCTGGCAACTCTTCATTTTCTACTGTGGAAGTGCCCGTATGCCACTCCAATTGTGAAAAAAGAAAAACCAGAACAATTGTATTCGTGCCATTTATAAATGCATTTCTCATTTGAAATTGAATTAGAACGAATATTTTCAGCTGTCGCACCATTGAGCTGCCTCAACTAAACGGTGCAAGTGGGACAAGGTCCCTGGTAGCAGTCGATTGTGTTATACCCGTAAAATTATTAGTAATATTTATTGTATATACCCTCCCCCCTCCTCCCYCCCCCCCCCCGGGCCTAAGAAAGTTGCATCCTAAAATTTGTTCTACAAGGTACGTACCTTGTATTCGAATACAAGGTACATACCTTGTTTTCGGTTAAACCACTAGTACTTGGCCCAGCTATTGATGCCGAGCCGTGATAGCCCCTGCACCAAGTTTTGCCGAGGCGCCGGGGCACCGTTTCGTTTTCATTTTGGCTGGCGCTTCCAGCCATTGTGGATCGGTGCCCCGAAGCGTGGTCGTTTAAGACGGTAGGCCCCTTGGTATCTGTAGACCTCTGGATGCACACATGGGGATTTTCTTTAGAGAGAGGATGGAGGGATTTGAGCTCTCGAGCTGTCCATTGACAGGGGCCTGACATTCAGAAATGAGGCTGGTACCCTGTGGACTTCCTGTTGTCAGGTCCTTTTTCGTTCTCTTTTTCCTTTTTCCCCCGCTTTAGACGTGGTTGGGACAGAGGCATTGGGCGAAGGCTCGCAGATGGCGTACTGGGGTCAGGTATTCTTTTTCTTTGTTTATTTTTTGTTTTTGCCATTTCTTTCGAAGGCAGTAGCCGTAGCCTTATCGATTCGAGCTCTGGATGTGTTTCTCAACAGTTATGTGCGTGTACAGTTCAGCCATGACGAAGATGGAGGTGGGTATTCTGAGCTGGCTCAGAGGCGACGGTCTCATATGCAAGGGGTGGACCGACGAGCAAAGCCCGCTAATCGCGATTTTCGGCACCGCTCCACAAACCACAAACACGTCCGAATTCGGGCTGAAATCCTCTTCGCAACTGGGAGCTTGGCCCGACCATGACTACCAGGAGTACTAAGAAGCATACTCAGTACCTTCTGTGATGTATCGGACCGCGAACACGGCCAGAGTTTGTGACGGACATCATGGTGTATGGCTGACCGAAATTAAGGGCAGATTCTTTGATGGACGGCCTACGTAGTGTGCGGAGGTAGCACTCAGAAAAGCCCATCAACTATTTCGAGAGTGGTGTGGCGAGGCCCTCAGCCAGACGGAGATAGGGAATTACCACCGGTCATGGGTCTCGCCACAACCCATGGAACGAAAGAAAAAGAGTGCACCTTCCCGCTGAAATCGCCAAGGTACTTTCAGCACTATTCATAGTAAATAAAGGATGCATCTTGCCAGCTTCCGTGGGTATGGGATGCACTCGTTCTTTTCTCGTTGCGTGTGTGCTGTGTCGAGGCCCTGTGAAACTTCGCACAAAATAAAAAATAAAAAACAGTAAGTAGGTAGTGGAAGGTAAAGAAACAGAAGTTGAGAGAAGAGTATAGAAAAAATAAAAAAATAAAAAAAAATAAAGAGAAGAACAATGGCCTTACCTTCGTGCCTTTCTTTTCTTCTTTTTGTCACTTTGTTTGTTTTGCAGTTAGTGGGGAAAAAAAAAGGAAAGTGGAGGAAAACGCGAGGCGGGGTGAACGGCGGACGGGAGGCCTCCCTGCGACTCTCGACCCGGCCGGCACTTGGCGGAACCAGGGGGGTAGGAGGCGGAAGGTGGCCACTGCGCGAACCGGCGGCGGGGGAGGCGGACGCTGGCCACTGCGCGAACGGGGCGCAGGGAGGGCGGATGCTGGCCACTGCGGGTATCTGCAGAAGAGCGAGGCCGGGAGGGACGTATGGAGGAGGGAGGGGGAAGGAGAGGAGGAGGAGGAGGAGGAGGAAGGAGGGGAAGGGGAGGCGTTGGTAGCGATGGCGGAAAGGCGGGAGTGGTAATGGGATAGGGATCGGTCGCGATCGGGTGAGAAAAGGAAGAACGAGGAAAGAACGCTAACGGCGGCGGCGTCTGGCTGCGTCGGCCTACGTGGCTGAGCGCCGGCGCCATCGCTTGGTTTTGTGTGGGTCTTCTTTCCCTCGTCTCTCTCTCCTTCTAAATGGGAGTTCGTCTGCTCTGAGTGCGCGATTGATGATGCAAGTAGAACAACTCAATCACCCTCTTTCCTCCCTGGGTGGATCCCTGTCCCCTCACGAACAAGAAGGGGAAGAGCTAAGGGAAGCCTGACCTCAACCTTAACCTAACCCTCTGCGAGGTCAAGGGTTCGAATCCGGTTTTCCGCTCGTCAGTGGATTACTGATTACTCCTCCAGCCATCCACGCGGCGTCCAGGTGGCAGTTGCCCTTCTCTTTCCTCAAGGAACACGAACGTGCTGCATGCTAATTAAGGTGTAAACCTCTGGCACCGAGCTTGCCATCAGTCAGAAACCTGTCCACAAGCCATCATATCAGAGGCTGATCTGCCGTCCCGGTCATCAAACGGCTCGCCGGATGCGACCTGCTTATCGCATAGCAGCAATCGAAACGTCGCGGCGAGGGTGCGGAAGCTGCATGTTTTCTCGCTAGAGAGAGAGAGAGAGAGAGAGAGAGAGAGAGAGAGAGAGAGAGAGAGAGAGAGAGAGAGAGAGAGAGAGAGAGAGAGAAAGAAGAGAGAGGTGTTGTGGGGCACAGCATTAGATAGAAGGAAGAAGAAGAGGAGGAGGAGGAGAGGGGTTGGTGGTGGTGGTGGTGTGGGGCACATCATTAGATAGAAGGAAGAAGAAGAGGAGGAGGAGAGGAGGAGGAGAACGAGCAGGAGGAAAAACGTAAGTGCGACACGTGGCACGTGGATCGGAGAGGTATCGGGATGGCGACGGCGGCGGGACTACTGAGTATGGAAGCCTCGGCTCGCCGGCTGAGCGGGGGCAGCCTTAGTGGGCTGACTGGATCCAGTGCATCGTCTTCCTTGGCTGCGGAGTCGCGGTTCTCTCCTAACCCTTTTCAATATAATGGGAGGGTGGCGCTAGCTCTGATTCCCTGCTTGTTGGTTGTTCTCGGCGATGCCGGTCAGGTCGCCGTCGGGACCTTGACCATCGGTCTGTTAATTACGTACATCCTTGATGTGTTTGACATGAAGGAAGGCTCCTTCTTCGCCTTGTGGCTGACCGCTATGGGCGTTAGCGTGTCGCTCATTTTGGCAGGAGTAGGGTTTTTCCCTTTCCTCAGCCGCACCGTTTACATGCTCTTCTTAGGGTCCTCTGTCGCGGTTGTCTTCCTGGCGGCGTTGTGGATTTCCATCCAGTACAAGTGGCTGCAACTTCAACATCCCGGCGTGGTCCTGGCGATCGAGCGGCTCCTGTTCGCCACGTGTCCGATCCTGGGCGCCGCTGTCCAGACTTGGGCGGTTGTCGCGACCGTGGGTATCGGCAAGGCGCCCTTCTACTTGCACGTGATTCTCTCTGCGTTCTTTTGGCTTTTCTCCATCCCTCATTCTTCCTCCTTTCGCTCAAAGTCGGAGCGCTCCTATGGTGGTCGGCTTCCGCAAGAATCTCTTATCCTAGGTCCCCTTGAGTCCGCTGTCCACGCGGGCGCGCTTCTATTTCTGCCAATGATCTTCTACTACGGCACTCATTACCCCACGATCATTTCGAGTTTCCCGCTCCGGGAAATCGATTGCCTGTTGCTGGTCTTTGTACCTGTGCTGTTCTTGCTGTACGCGTCGACACGTGGCGGCTTGTGGTGGCTTTGCGGCGCACAGGACTTCCAACGCACTCGCCTGGTGATTGGGGCCGTCGCTCTCGCTGTCGTAGTCGGCTGTCTGGAGTTCCGGGTCGTTTTCCGCTCTTTCTCGGGCTATATCCACATAGAGGCCCCGTTCAGCTATGTCCTTGTCTCGATCGCGATGTACGGCATGGCCATCTCTTTTGCTGGATACGCGCTCGGTCTGTATCGGGACGCTGTCACACTTCCCTTCGTGACCATCCTCCTGGTGGTGTCAGCAGTCTCTGTCTGCATTACCCTCGGGATGCCTGCTTTGGTAAGTTGGAAACCCAAAATACCCTACCCTACCCTACCCGACCCTACCCACCCTCCCTGACTCCTTACCTCTCTCACTGCCGCCTTTTCTCCCTCCCAACGGGATTTCTCTTTATCTCATCATCCCTGTCTCTCTTGTTCGACTGACTTTCTTCCTCTCTCTCTCTCTCTCTCTTCCTCTCCCTCTCTCTCTCTCTGTTTGTCTCCTTCTGTTGTTTATGTTTTGTATGTCACAGTCTATAGCTTCTCTTGCCCTTTTTTTGTTCCTCCCTCTCACCTTCTCCCTCCCTTCCTCTCTCTCCTGCTCTCTCCCGCTTTCTCTTTCTTCTTCTTACCCCTGCTGTGCATCCTTCTCGTCTGTCACGGATCCATCTCTCTCTCACTCTTCTCCCTGCCTTCGGATTCTATCCGTTTCTGTCTGGTTGTTCTTCTTTGTCTCTTTGTTCGTCGGTTTTGCCCTCTCTCTCTCTCTCTCTTTCTCTTTCTCTTTCTCTTTCTCTCTCCTCTCTCTCTGCTCTATTGGCCAGGTCGTGTGACTCTGCCGCCTGTCAGCTCTTTGTCAATTCCTCTT